TTGGTGTTGGTGTTAGTGTTAACAGAACCAGTCATTGATTCAGTGTTGGAGTTGGAGTTGGTGTTAACAGAACCAGTCATTGATTCTGTGTTGGAGTTGGTGTTGGTGTTAACAGAACCAGTCATTGATTCAGTGTTGGTGTTGGAGTTGGTGTTGGTGTTAACAGAACCAGTCATTGATTCAGTGTTGGTGTTGGTGTTGGTGTTGGTGTTAACAGAACCAGTCATTGATTCAGTGTTGGTGTTGGTGTTGGTGTTAACAGAACCAGTCATAGATTCAGTGTTGGAGTTAGTGTTGGTGTTAACAGAACCAGTCATTGATTCAGTGTTGGTGTTGGTGTTAACAGAACCAGTCATTGATTCAGTGTTGGAGTTGGTGTTGGTGTTAACAGAACCAGTCATTGATTCAGTGTTGGTGTTGGTGTTGGTGTTGGTGTTAACAGAACCAGTCATTGATTCAGTGTTGGAGTTGGTGTTGGTGTTGGTGTTAACAGAACCAGTCATTGATTCAGTGTTGGTGTTGGTGTTGGTGTTAACAGAACCAGTCATTGATTCAGTGTTGGAGTTGGTGTTGGTGTTAACAGAACCAGTCATTGATTCAGTGTTGGTGTTGGTGTTGGTGTTAACAGAACCAGTCATAGATTCAGTGTTGGTGTTAGTGTTGGTGTTAACAGAACCAGTCATTGATTCAGTGTTGGAGTTGGTGTTGGTGTTAACAAAACCAGTCATTGATTCAGTGTTGGTGTTGGTATTGGTGTTAACAGAACCAGTCATTGATTCAGTGTTGGTGTTGGAGTTGGTGTTAACAGAACCAGTCATTGATTCAGTGTTGGAGTTGGTGTTGGTGTTAACAGAACCAGTCATTGATTCAGTGTTGGTGTTGGTGTTGGTGTTAACAGAACCAGTCATTGATTCAGTGTTGGTGTTGGTGTTGGTGTTAACAGAACCAGTCATTGATTCAGTGTTGGTGTTAGTGTTGGTGTTAACAGAACCAGTCATTGATTCAGTGTTGGAGTTGGTGTTGGTGTTAACAGAACCAGTCATAGATTCAGTGTTGGAGTTGGTGTTGGTGTTAACAGAACCAGTCATTGATTCAGTGTTGGTGTTGGTGTTGGTGTTAACAGAACCAGTCATTGATTCAGTGTTGGTGTTGGTGTTGGTGTTAACAGAACCAGTCATTGATTCAGTGTTGGTGTTGGTGTTGGTGTTAACAGAACCAGTCATTGATTCAGTGTTGGTGTTGGTGTTGGTGTTGGTGTTAACAGAACCAGTCATTGATTCAGTGTTGGTGTTGGTGTTGGTGTTAACAGAACCAGTCATTGATTCAGTGTTGGTGTTGGTGTTGGTGTTGGTGTTAACAGAACCAGTCATTGATTCAGTGTTGGTGTTGGTGTTGGTGTTAACAGAACCAGTCATTGATTCAGTGTTGGAGTTGGTGTTGGTGTTGGTGTTAACAGAACCAGTCATTGATTCAGTGTTGGAGTTGGTGTTGGTGTTAACAGAACCAGTCATTGATTCAGTGTTGGTGTTAGTGTTGGTGTTAACAGAACCAGTCATTGATTCAGTGTTGGTGTTGGTGTTGGTGTTGGTGTTAACAGAACCAGTCATTGATTCAGTGTTGGTGTTGGTGTTGGTGTTGGTGTTAACAGAACCAGTCATTGATTCAGTGTTGGTGTTGGTGTTGGTGTTGGTGTTAACAGAATCAGTCATTGATTCAGTGTTGGAGTTGGTGTTGGTGTTAACAGAACCAGTCATAGATTTAGTGTTGGTGTTGGTATTGGTGTTAACAGAACCAGTCATTGATTCAGTGTTGGAGTTGGTGTTGGTGTTAACAGAACCAGTCATTGATTCAGTGTTGGTGTTGGTGTTGGTGTTAACAGAACCAGTCATTGATTCAGTGTTGGAGTTGGTGTTGGTGTTAACAGAACCAGTCATAGATTCAGTGTTGGTGTTGGTGTTAGTGTTGGTGTTAACAGAACCAGTCATAGATTCAGTGTTGGTGTTGGTGTTGGTGTTAACAGAACCAGTCATTGATTCAGTGTTGGTGTTGGTGTTGGTGTTAACAGAACCAGTCATTGATTCAGTGTTGGAGTTGGTGTTGGTGTTAACAGAACCAGTCATAGATTCAGTGTTGGTGTTGGTGTTGGTGTTAACAGAACCAGTCATTGATTCAGTGTTGGTGTTGGTGTTGGTGTTGGTGTTAACAGAACCAGTCATTGATTCAGTGTTGGTGTTGGTGTTGGTGTTAACAGAACCAGTCATTGATTCAGTGTTGGTGTTGGTGTTGGTGTTGGTGTTGGTGTTGGTGTTAACAGAACCAGTCATTGATTCAGTGTTGGTGTTGGTGTTGGTGTTAACAGAACCAGTCATTGATTCAGTGTTGGTGTTAGTGTTGGTGTTAACAGAACCAGTCATTGATTCAGTGTTGGTGTTGGTGTTGGTGTTAACAGAACCAGTCATTGATTCAGTGTTGGTGTTAGTGTTGGTGTTAACAGAACCAGTCATTGATTCAGTGTTGGTGTTGGTGTTGGTGTTAACAGAACCAGTCATTGATTCAGTGTTGGAGTTGGTGTTGGTGTTAACAGAACCAGTCATTGATTCAGTGTTGGTGTTGGAGTTGGTGTTAACAGAACCAGTCATTGATTCAGTGTTGGAGTTGGTGTTGGTGTTAACAGAACCAGTCATTGATTCAGTGTTGGTGTTAGTGTTGGTGTTAACAGAACCAGTCATTGATTCAGTGTTGGTGTTGGTGTTGGTG